CTCCTTGGAAAAGACCCTGATGTTAGGAAAGTGTGAAGGCAAGAGGAGAAGGGGACGACAGAGGATGAGATGGTTGGACAGTGTCATCGAAGCAACCAACATGAATTTGACCAAACGCCGGGAGGCGGTGGAAGACAGGAAGGCCTGGCGTGCTCTGGTCCATTTATTTATTTATTTATCTATTTATTTATCTATTTATTGTATTTATACCCCGCCTATCTAGTCATTTCGACCACTCTAGGCGGCTATGGGGTCATGAAGAGTCAGACATGACTTAACAGCTAAGCAACAACAACAAAATGAGTTCCTTTACACAATTAAAACTTAGGCACCAACTACACCTGTTCCTGGAGAATTCTGGCCATGGTGGCACATAACTTAATCACATACTAGCTGGATTATTGCAACATGCTCTACATGCAGCTGCCTCTGGAAAGCCTCAGGAAACTTCAGCAGGTCCATAACATGACAGCCAGATTGCTAACTGGGTCTAGTCACAGGGATCACATAGATCTACCCCGACCCGTTACAGCCACTCCCCTGGCTGCTGACTCATTTCCATCACAATTCAAAATGTTGATTCTAACCTTTAAAGCCCCAAACTCAAGTTATCTCAAGGACCTCATCACTTTTTATGAGCCTGTTCAAGTGTTAAGATCATTAGGAGAGGCCTTTCTCCTAGTCCCACCACCTTCAGAGGTGCATTTGGTGGCGACATGGGAGAGGGCCTTCTATGTCTTTGCTCCCAGACTTTGGAACTCCCTCCCACTAGAGGCCACCCTGGCCCCATCTTTCCTTCTCTTCCGCAAGCAGGTAAATACATTTATCTTTAGGCAAGCTGTTTCTCAGTGACTGAATACCTGTGTGTGGTTTTTAAATGAATTGTTCTACTTTACTGCTTTGAATATGTTTTGGTATTGCTTTTGTTTCCTGTTCGAGTGCTATTTGTTTGATTCTTTTTAGTATTTGTATACTGGCTGTTTATACACCACCTTGAGCCCTTTTTAAGGAGGAATGTGGAATAAAAATATTTTAAAGAAATCTTAGAAGGGCACTAACCACTGTATCCTAGCTACCACCCTATGGGTAGTCAAAACAGAGAGACAGTACATTGTTGGTATACACCCAATGAGTCTCCTTCATAAACAGGATTTTGAACTTCAGTCTGCCTGGATTTAACCACACTCCTATTGAAAGGAACAAATCGCCAATATATTCTATTTTAATTGAATTTTAATTGTTTTATCTTTTACTGCATTTTAATTGTATTTTGATTGTTGCAAGCTGCCCAGAGACCTTTTGGTAGAGTGGGCGACATATAAGTTGAATGAATGAATGAATGAATGAATGAATGAATGAATGAATGAATAAGCACAGTTTGCTGTCCTCTGAAGATGCCAGCCGCAGAGACTGGCGAAAAGTTAGGAAGAACCACTTTCAGAACACGGCCAAGAAGCCTGAAAAACCCACAACAACCAAACAAACAAACAAACAAATATTTTCTGGCACCAAACCTAAGCCTGTAAAAGCTGCTGCAGAAAAAACAACCTGCAAGGGCTGAACCTTTCCCTCCTACACCTGGGAAAGGCACATCTGCTTCATTTCTTGTCTGAAAAATGGCATGTGCATCCTGTCAAAAGGTAGAAGGGAAACATTAACGAGCGTTTTGGGGAAAGAGGAGAGAATACCCATTAGAATATTGGAGGGAAATACAGTAAAGTCCTAAATCCAATTGTTACCCTCTACGAAATCAGAGGAGCTGAATCAGTGGGATTTAACTGTTTACTTAAAATTCAGCAACTGGTTTAGTGAGTCTCCTTTTAATTGCAACTAGTAACTGGACTTAGTCCAAAGATTCATCTGGCCTCTTTAAATTTTGCACGGCGTCACGCCCGTGACTCTGAGGAAGCAGTCCCTCAAGACTTGCAAAATTTGCCTCTTGAGTTTCATTTTATATGGCAAAAACAACTGCCCCAGTCGGTCTCCTCAGGGCTCTTCCCTACGGGGCTCTTTCTGCTTTCGCCCTGCTGGTCAGCTGCCCGCGAAGCCGGCGAAACAAACCAGCGCGGACGTCACCCGAGGACCAAAAAAATAAAAATAAAAGCAAGAAAGCCCAAACTTTCCTCAGCCAGGCCAGCCTCTAGCGCTGAGGAGAAGCGCCCCCAAGGGCCGGCGGCGCAGAGCTTGCCGGGACTTGTAGTGCGCCACCTGGCTGGCGGGCGGCGGGCGGCGGGGCCCTCGGAACTACAACCCCCAGCGGGTTTTGCGCTGCCTCCTTCCTCGGGCCCGGCTCTGG